ATGCTGCCTACGAGAAGTTCCGTGACAAGCGCTTGGGCACCGAGGGAGTGGGTGAGCTGGAGGGTCCTGGGGGGTCCTGAGGGTCAGGGGACCCCCAGAGGGCACAGCCCCTCCTGGTGTGCTGGGTCACACCTGGCTCTGTCTCCCAGATTTCTCGGATCGCATCGGGAAAACGCGGACAACAGGGTACGAGGCTGGAGAGTATGAGATGGTGAGTGGGGGCAACCTCGGGGGGGCTGTGGGCAGGGTAGGGGAAAGGGCCCCACAGAGATCCAGGCCTGCGAGGAAGAGGAGGCCCATGAGGCTGAAGATAAGCTCCAGCACAGTCTCTGTCCCTGTTGTCTTCAGGATCCTCCTGGGCTGCTCCTGCCCTGCCCCATTGGGTTTTTCTCAGGTGCCACCTGAGCAGCAGGTTCTGTCACCACGAGGCTGCTCTCACCTGTCCCTGCAGGGCCTCACCTGTTTTTCTCACCTGCCTCGTCCCTGTCCTTGCTGTGCAGGCCCTGAGGGGGCCTCAGCCAGGGTGCCAGTTTGAGTACCAGGTGCTGTGGGCACCTGTGACCCCCTGTGATCCCTGTCCCCCACGTCCCACAGCTTGGGGAGGGACCTGGAGCCAAGGAGACGCCGCAGCAGAGGTACCAGCGGCTGCAGCACGAGGTGCAGGAGTTGATCCGGGACGTGGAGCAGATCCAGGTGAGCACCCCAGGTGAGCAGCCCCTGCCCAGGGGTGTCTGTGGGTGTCAGGTGTCACCCGTGTGTCCCCCCAGAGCACGGTGAAGGAGGCGGCGGCCGAGGAGGAGCTGACACCCATGGCCTTGGCCAGGCAGGTGGAGGGGCTGAAGCAGCAGCTGCTCTGCTCCCACCTGGAGAAGGTGCTGGGCCCTGCGGCTGCCGTCGACTTCGCTGATCCCGAGGGGGCCTTGGCCAAGTGAGTGGGGGGCAGTGTCCCCTGGGGTGGGACAGGGCCCTCTGTGCACCTGTTCCCCGTGCCTACCTTGTGCCCACCTTCCTTCTCCCTGTGC